ATGATCTTACCAGTTGCTTTTCTTACTGGTGAGGTCTTAAAACTTGTGTGGAGGAGTTAGAAAATGTAAAAGTCTTTTTTACTATAAGCTGTAAACTGAAAAAAAGAGTAACTGGGAAGAAATTTCACAGAAATATTTTAAGAAAGACTGGAACATTTTCATGTTGTGTCTTGCTCAAGCTTTTGTGAAGACAGTTTTATGCTCATTTGACTTCTGGCATTCATTAAGCATCTCTATACTGGAGCAGTAACCCACAAGGTCTTCTTGACTTCTGTATTTGACACTCCTGGCAAGAGTGACCAAACGTACCTGCCAAATAATTATCTCCCACGGCAAGTCACTGAAGAGATGGAAAAACACTGAGAGAGATTATCATACCTTTTTAGGACAGTCATCATGTTCATAGACCTCAAAAAATGCAAAAAGTGTGGTTTTTTTAAAAGAAAAAAAATCTGTAAAATAGGTTATTGAAAACTACTCCTTGCAACTATATATGTTCTGTAATCTGATGTGCGTATGTGAAGGCAACTGGCATATAAAATACTATTGCTAAAAACTGCCCTTTTTTGAGATCAGTCCAGGAAAAGGGATCACAGAGTTTGCTTTCTTCTGGTGAATTTCAAGAGTATTTATTGCTACTGCAATGTTATTTTCTTACTATTTTGATGCATAAGCAGCAGTATTTCTTTAATCAGGGAAATTAAAAACTTTTAAAATGGAGTGTGGTGAGATTACTAAAAGGATTATATTACACATTTGCCTGCAATAGAGCGATTTAAGCTTAGTAATAAATGAGTTTCTTGTCAGTCCGATGTTCTTAAATTGAGAATTTGGGAAAAAAGTTAATAATTTACAGTAGGTAGCAAGGATAGCATAGACTTTAACCTATGGCTTAGGGTCGGTGAAGTGTATGCCCCGTAGATACACGTTCCGCTGTGACCTCCTGGCTGCTCCAGGCTCCCGCGGCACCAGGTCCTCCCGCGGAGCGGAGGAGCTCTCCGCTGTCACGCGCGCGTGGGCTGGGAAGCAGCCCCAGGGTTTTTAAGATGGGGAAGGGCATTGGCCTGGCCGCAGCCAGAGGGCTGAGATACAACCCACCACCCAAAGGTCCAGAGGGAGGGATGCCAGGCCAGCAGTAGACCAGGCAGCAGCTTTGCCTTCCTCCTCGCTCAGCGCTGTCTGCAGCCCCGACCTCTGTTCCAGCAAACTTGGGTCTACCGGGAGGCTGGGCCCTTTTCAATCTTCAGCTGTGCTGGAAAGCAAAGTTCAGTGCATCTGTAGTGTTCTCCCATCCCACATATCATCCTCCCTACGTACTTCTCATGCTTTCTATGTCTTGTCGCTAACAGCCCAATTAATTCCTTTTTAGTAACTATGCAAGTTAACAAATTTCCTGAACTCTACGCAACTGCTCTTGCTAGGAGAAAAGCTCTTCCTACCCACAGGAGATTCTCAGCAGCTCGTAAGGTTGGGCTTTTCAGTCTGGTGTCGGTGGGGATGCTGTTACAACACTACTGTAGTCAGCAATAAATTGTGCCTTCGCAGCAAAAGAGGGTTTTCAGGATATATTTGTGTGTGTTTTTATGTCTCTCTCTGTCTATACAGAGAGAGGCTTGGCCAGCCCGTTGTGGAATTGTACTGGAGAGCGCAGTGGGTAGTTTTTAGAGGCAGGGGAGCAGCCCCGTAGTGAGGTGTGGGATGCCTTCAGCCACTGCTGCTGCCAAACAGTTTTTTAACTTCACATCAGGCCTGATTCGCCTCTCCTCCTGCTGCCCCCGCCTGCTCCTCGGCTCTTTTATTGAGCAGTTAGAAGTTAAAAGCTGTAGGGCAATCCATCCCGCGGGATTCTGCAACAACGTGGCCATTTTGCTGCACACAACCACAAGTTTTCCTGTTCTTAAATGAAGTCATAAACAGCATAAATTATGTCTATTAATGTATGTCTGGCATTCTGTTTGCCTTTTTGTGTTTGCTTCGCACAGGTGCTGAAAATTAGGTAAGAAAAATAATGGTACAACCGAGTAGATTTCTTTGTTGGAACTGAAGTAAGATTTTTGTAACATTGAAAATGGAAGAACCTTTTTACAAGAATTAGTTCTATCTAGTTCTAAGTTAAGCCCTTGAAAGATGGGTGAAATATGGCATGGCACAGATATTTCTTTAAAATAAATCCTTTATTGCTTTTTATAGAGGTGGAAACTGTTCTGTGGGACACAAAGAATAAATGACGAGAGGATAAGGGACTGTAATTTTTATACTTTTAGAAAGTAACTGGAAGGGGATAACTGATAATTCTGTACAGTGAAGTGATAAAAGACAAGGAAGATTTATTCAAGGTTGTACAAGGATGTTTTATAAGCTGCTAATGGTCTTACACTGGAAAAGGGGACATCGAGATTAGATTTAATGAGAAACTTTCCAACAGAAAGATTTGACAGTGGAGCAGTCTGTCAAAACGGTTATTGAAGTATGATCACAAGAAGTGTTCAGGAAGAGATAAGATAAAACTCTTAAGGGAGCAGTCAGTCCAGAGATTAGCTAGAGCCGATCCAAATCATAGCCCTGGTGATGCTCTTGGGATTTGGGTTTTTAAAAAGTAATGTAGTGCATTGGTTCATGCCATGTTCTCTGTCTGTATCTTTACAAGTTGTTATCTTCTTTCAAGCCTCTCAAACAAGAAAGGGCATAAATATATTTTTGCTGCTCACTTTTACTGGATAGAAGAGAAATGATGAACCTAATATTTCTTGTACTGTGAGAGCTAATTAGGGAACTCAAGAACGTATGGGAGTTTGAAATTACTTCATTCTTCCTCTGTCCGGGAAGTACCAACTGGGCTATCTGACACTGCAGATTCCTGATGCATAATGACAGATATTGCAAACACTGCCGATCCTGGTTCCAGGTATGGCACTTCTCATTAGCTAGTACAAGATGTAACTGCACAGCTTCCAGGGATTTAATTTGCTAATTTGTTGGAGGACGGATAGTTCTGATTTCAGTTATTCTGCATACTGCAACAGTAGCCCAAGTTGTTGAATTTGGTCTTGCTCTGCTATTTTTAAAATGAGTTTGTGTCTTTTGATGGGAACAGTTAAAATGAAACTAGAGAAGAGGAACTAAAAAATGTTGTTGAACGTATTTTTCTGTATTAATAGGGTGACAAAGGTTACATTTCAGAATAACCTTTGCTTTTTTGTGGTCCAAGGTAGCCTAAAAGCCTTTCAGAGCTGTTTTAGCCTTGCTTTGATTTATGGCTAGCTACTTAGCCCTCAAGAAGCTGGTCTCTTGGGAGGGGATTGATAGGCTTAAGGGATGCTGAGGTTTGTTGGGAAACCTCTCATGAGGTTTGTTGGGAAAGAGCAGCCCAGCAGCAGTGTGAGGATTGCCTTGCAGCATCTTCAGGAGGGAAGGAGAGCCGGCTTTTGAGCTGCCACGGTGGGTTTAGCAATTCAACCCTCTCCTCGGACTGCTACGGAAAAGTCAACAGAGCTGTTGTCAAGAGAGAAGGGGGATAAAAAGCCCTGCATCTGAACAGCAGCAGTGCCATTGGGAAGACAGGATAGGCAACTGGGTTTGCGTTTGCCAAGGAAAGAAATAAGAATCATAAGATAAAAGGCAGGGGAGAATGAGGATGGTGAATGGAGTTAGGTGGTACAAGAGAACTGTTTAATTGGAAAGGTTAATTGGACATTAAGACAATGTATCCAGCAAATTCTATTTAAATACTTTGGTTAGAGAGAGTTTAGAAATTCATTAGAAATTGTAATGGTAGATGATTTAAAAGTCCTAGGCTAGGTACTGTTGCAGTCTTTATTATGGGAATTCAAGGCTAGATTAGATCCAGTTTGGAGAGGAGTGATCTGGAGGTCACAGTTGTTACAGGGACTGGAACTGCTCTGACTTTTCCCACAAGACATTTCAAGGCAATTGTTTTCTTGGGCATCATTTCCAGTGACTTCAGCAGAGATGGCCTCTGATCATTAAAAAAAAAGTTGCTTTTTGTTTTGTACTATCAAGGCCCACTGCATACTGCAGTAAGGATGTATATATAGGAGATCATTGAATGCTTCTTCAAATTAGTGCAATTGATTGGCCTTCAGGAAATAAAAAGTGGAGGAGAAGCCAAAGTTATTTTGTTTTTTTTCTGAACAGATGTTGTACTAATTATGTGCATAGTTTTAACATTTAATTGAGGAAATGACTCCTTATTTTGCAAGTGTTTCGAAATTCAGAATACATGTGCAATTTGTATACTCAGACTTACTTGCATCTCAAGCACATTGTAAAAGCTGTTAAAATGCCAAAATTCAGGCTATGCATAAAACATTCTTTAACCGTGTTTGCTTTATGATACAATCTTTAATGGATAACTGCACAGCCTGTTTAAGCCAAAACTCAACCCAGTTTACAGCTTTGTTTTGGTACAAAACATTTCACACTGTTCAGGTTGTGTCTTCCTCTACATGTGTCTACGTGTCTTCTCTCTTTGGCTTTTGGAGGCAATAAAGAGAGATGGAAGACAGATGGAATACAGTTATATAGATACAATTAGGTGAAATGAAGGGTGTAATGTGTTTGGTTTGTTTCAATTTGATGCGCAAATCTCTATCCCTCGGAACCTGAGGTTGCAACATTTTGGTTTTTCTAACCATTCCAGTAATCTAAGGCCTTATGTTGAGGGGATGTACTACACAGAATTGGAGGGCGGAAGGTTGCTTCAAACTCGGTGCTTAAGTTCAGAATTGTTTCTTTCTAAATGGTCTTCTCTGTGTATGGCACACGACTAGGAGCAGTGTTTATTCCCTGACAACTGATGACTGTCGATCTTTTCTCGTCTTCGGTCTCTTACAGGGCTTAGCTGGTATTGAAGCAGCGCTGTATAACAATACAGTAGGCACTTTAATGATGTCTCCATTTACTGATCCTAGCAAAATAATTATCTTGATTTTTTTTCATGTATAGAGAGCTTTTCTTCAGTAAAATTTTTTCTTTCCCTTTACAGATTTCAAGCGTGTGTTTATTTTGCATCTGTCTTTCAAGCTATGTCATGTGGTATCCATTACTTAGCATCTGTGTTCATGGCTGTTACTCCTAACTTTGTTTGTGGGATCCCTGGAAACGTCAGTAGTGTTCTTTTCTACAACTCCTCTGAATCGAGTATAGAGGACATCTGGACACTGTGGACATCAACAGAAAATTACATTGCAGTCCAGCTGGAAAATGGAGAAATCTGGGAACTTAACCAATGCAGCAGGTCCAAACGAGAAGTCGGTCTGGAGCTGGCATATGAATACGAAGGCAACAAGTCTGTATTTTCTTGTTCTGATGGATTTCTCTATGATGATACAAAGTGGAAGAGCACTGTTGTTACACAGTGGGATCTAGTCTGTGACCGAGAATGGCTTGCAAAATTAATCCAGCCTACGTTCATGCTTGGAGTCTTGATTGGAGCCGTGATTTTTGGAGACATTGCTGACAGGTAAAGTGCCATCCTCTGAAAACTGTAGCTTCAGACTGCAGTAACTCCATGTCTGCCTACCTATTTTGTTGTTTTCATTGTGTATTCATAATTATGTATTCACAATTCAGGAGGTTTGGATATTGTTTTATTCACAGATGTGTTTGACTGAATTTCTTTTTCTGATAGCAATTACTAATTTTAAAATGTATTTGCAAATAATTTGCTTTTAGAAATTTTTTCCTACTTGTATATCATCTATTGTTCTAGGTCTTGATCTCTCAAATTGCCTTGTGCAGCTAGTATTTTCCCTTAGATTAATTTTTTTTTAACAGGAATAGCAATAGTTAATAGTAATAGCAACAGTAAAACCTGGGAGTAGATTTTCACCTCATTTTCCATTAGGAGGGATTCCTCATGGAGACATAGATTTTTATTTCTAGATATGATAAACAGCTGAAGGGCTGCTGGAAGGTTAAAAATCATGTATTTTAAAATAAAAAATTCCCTACCTTCTGTCATGAATACAGCTCTGTGGGGCTTATGCAAGGTCTGTGAGGGTTTGATCGAGCCCCACGTTCTTAAAATAAACAACCGTATGCTATTTTTCCTTGCTGTCCAATTATAGTTTTTCCCTGAATGGTTAACTTAAACTTCAGTCTCTTGAAGGTTAGTCCAGATAATGGAAAATGGTTGTCAGTAAGCTGCGCTGTAGTTTCACTGATTTTTCCAGCACATACCAAGTTCTGTCTGGGCAGGAGGAGAGTCAATCCGTGGAGCATCCCTCGCTGGCGGCCTCAAGGCTGTCCCTCAGCCCGCTCCCCTCCGACCCTGCGTGTTCTCGCAGATCCTGCGCTCAGATCCACCGTCACAGCTGGACTCGGAAGCAGTGGTGAGGTCCAGGATCTACCTCCAGATCCTCCTGCTTCTCTTCCTTTTCTCTCTCGCAGAAACACACCTATTCCTGCCTCAGAAGAACGCCTAGCCGTGCCCCTCTGTCCATACAAGGGTCAAGTGCCTGAGCTACGTTGTACTGGGTTTTGTCTCGGGCAGTTTATGTACCCGGGCTTTGCTTTGAAGGCTGATTTAGTGTTATTTATCTCTTTCTCTAAAGGAGCTTGTTGACTAACAGCTCTGTTAGGTGAAGGGTGACGTTTTGTCCCACAGCTAACAGTGTAAGCAGAAAAAGGGGACCAGGCATGTTGTTCTCTGATTTTCCTTCACTAGCACAATGCTACGGTGTGACAGTTAAAACATGGGAATGCAAAAGGAGAGATGATGGTTTTTTTAATTTGGCTTTTAGAACATATGGTATTAATCCTGCCTCCCAATCCACGGCTTTGTAAAACCGTATTTAATACAAAACCAGAATATAACGCCAACATTTGTTCTGCGTCCCTTTAAATGACTCATAGCTTTATTAATTAATACTTGGACATGGTTTAAAAGGTTATGATCATATTGTTCTCCTTTCAATCAATTCAAGCCGTGGACAGCCAGTTAAGATAATACACAGGTTCTGAGTTGCAGATCTGCAGCTGTAGATTTTACAGCTGAACGTTATTATTTTCTGACACATCCTGGCTGGTTGGACATAAGTTTGTGGGTTCCTCCTGTTCCCAGTTAACAGATTTCCCAACAGAAGGGCTCTGACAGCTAGGACTCACTGATACCTCTCTGGCAGGGGTCAGACACCAAATGTGCATGACTCCAGGTCGAGGTTGGAGAAAAATAGGAGTTGTTTTAATGTAGTACCAAACACTCGTGGAGAAAAACTGACAAATGACTGCACACCCCTGAAAGTCCTCAAACTCTCTGTCTGAACGTAACATACACATCCGTGAAAAGCTGTTCACAGTGGAGTAGATAAGAAGAGGCCAAGAGAATATTATCAGGGAAGAAAAATGATTCCGCGCATTTTGTATTCCAGAACATTTGTAGATAGAATATAGTGAAACCTCGGTAGAGTCTTGTACATCTACTGCAGATTTCTAGGTTTTTCTCCTCAGATGAGCTGCTTCTTGACAGCATGTGCTCACTTGTTTAGGTACAACTGGCTTTACTTGGTATATTTTCTCCCTGAGATAAAGGAAGAAGATAAAGAAACAGAAGTTCCTTTTTACTAAATGCCTTTCTTTTTTACAGTGGAAATCACTATGTTGTTGATGGGAAACTAGTATTTGACATGATTTTTTTTTTTGTTAGTATACTAGCTTCCTGGATTTCTGTGTTTCTATGTGCATGCAATATATGATGCAATCAGAAGATTATGGGGAACTATGTAATCATCATTGATTAGAGAATTCAACTTTAAATAACTGGACAAAGATATGTTACAGAAGCCTTTCGTTACTATCCAAATTGGTTGTTACTTTGGCAAGAGATGGCATGTGTTATCACAGCGAACTTTTGTTAGACATGAACTAGATGTTACTTAATATAAAATATCTGAAAAAGCGAGTCTTACCTATTGTCCTCATAAATAAGACAGAGTAAATTTGCAGATTAGTTACGCAGAAGTTAAACTTGAAAGTGGAGGTGCGCATAGGTCATGCCCGCTTCTGCACATTGCTTCCAGCCAAGAATTGTGGAATGGAAGTTCTGTCCATAGGAGCTTCCTTTTTCTTGGAAGTTGGAATTACTGAAAAATCAATACATGTAACTAAACCAGAGTTTCTGTGGTGAATCAAAGTATGAAGTACAGTATTTTCAGACTGTACTATCTCAGATAGACTCTCTGGAGCTGCAGGTGTATTTTAATAGAATGTTTGTGGTTATTCATAATCTTATTGCTGCTGTGATTTGCAGACTGGGAAGACAGCGTGTTGTATGGTTCACCAGTGCCGGTCAGTTTGTATTTGGCATCGCAGTGGCCTTCACATTTGACTACTACAGTTTTGTGATTGTGCGCTTTCTCCTTGCTATGGTAAGAAAGGATGTTCACCCTGGCTCTTTCTACGTGTCATTTCCTACCCCTTTTCTGGAAAACCTCCCTTTTGTTTTTATTTCCTCCCCTACTTCATTATTCTAAAGCCCCCTCTGTTGCACTTATTTCAGCAGAGCAGGGAGAGTCTGAATGTTCTTGGACCACAGCACTTTTCCTCTTTGAATTAATAGAAAGCGTCTGTATGAAGCAGTGTTTGGTACTTCCTCCGTCCCAACCTCTGCTGGACTGGTAATTAAATACCAAGTGTGAGCAGCAAACTCTGGGTTCTGCATTGCAGCTGCCATTGCATTTCTCCTTATTGTTAGAAATGGAGTATCTTTTTCTTGAAATAACAAATCTGTAATAAGTATGATTTTTATCTCTACCATTCTGAGTGATGGAGGACAGGTGCATATTTTCTCTTCCGTGCATCTCTTTGGTCTTTTAAGCTACATCTGGAATACTAAATACCTAGGTAGATGTGTTTAACACCTAGATGTTTATACTGTACTTAAGGGTATTCCAGTATATGTGTGTATGATATATATCCAATATCTGATATATATTCAATATTTATACATACTAACCAATTTTAAATTACTATTTTAAGTCCAAAACTATAATATTTGTAGTCTTTCAATATATAATGCATAAAGAAATTAGAATGCTATCACAAGAAAAATTATGTAACTTACTTAAAGTAGGTTAGAAATTTTAAGAGAGTCTCATAGTTTATTTTATCCTGCTGACAATGCATGAGTCAAGACAGGACCTTGGACCTGGAGCTCCCTTTGCCTGATGAGGGCTCAGAAAGATGTCCTAGCAGGAAAAACTGCAAGGGCATTTCAGCCTTGACCGGTGAGGTCAACAGGAGCGCCTCTGCTGCCTCCCTTGGCTGTTGGTGCTGGGGGCTGTGGTGGTTTAGAAAAGCAAAAAGCTCCGACCAGACCAATGCTGTAGGTTTTAATTGCCCACTGGGACTGGTTTGCGAGATGGAGGTCTAAAGCTCTAGCCTCATGCCTCTGATATCAACACAGCTTTCCTATCAGGTTCAATGGGTTCAGAATCAGAGATTAACAACTGGAATATTTTTAACCAGAAAACCGATTAATCAAAACAATATACTGGAATATTTTCTAGTCTAGATTTTCTAGCTGTGTTTTGAAATGTTTTGAGATACCAAGAGTTTGACTGTTGCTAAAGAAATTGAAATATATATATATAGAGAGATTCAATAATATATATATATTCAATGAAGAAATACTATAATGCAGAACATGCCAGTAATTGCATTTGCTAGATAACGTATGAGAACCAATAACCATATATATGAGATTCTCTTCCAACGTGGTAAAAATTTGATTTAATGAGATAATTTACAAGGGCGTGGAAGGTAATTCTCAGTAAACTTGCAGTTCCCTGACATACAGATTATTAATAGTCTGCTTAAAAGCAAAGGTCAAGATTTTCAGAAGTGGCAGTTACTTCAGGGGACCTTATTTTCCCAAGCATCCATTTTGCGATGTCATCAAGGGACCTGATTTTTGGAGGTAAAGAGCTTAGTGACATCAGCAAGTCAGGCTCTTTTTCAGGTGCCTCCTGCTGGCTGTCCCCCACTACAGAGAAGCATCCAAAATCACTTCACATTTTTAAAGACAGTGTACGGGCAGTCTGAAGGTTTAAGTGAACTTTTTCTCCAGCTGATTTGTTTTCAGAGTTGACTTTTTTTCTGTCAGTGTGGGACATGCCAGTGTGGTGGCAATTAAGCATGCACTAATGTGGAACACTGTTAGCTGTTTGTTTTTACTGCTGGCGCACAAGGAGAGTAGATACAAACCTCACTCTTCTTTTTTTCTCTCTCTCCCACCTCCCCAGGTTTCAAGCGGCTATCTGGTTGTGGCTTTTGTTTATGTGACTGAGTTTGTTGGCATTAAAGCACGAACCTGGGCTTCTATGCATGTCCATGCTTTCTTTGCTATGGGCATCATGATTGTGGCACTCGTGGGATTTCTCGTTCGGACCTGGTGGGTCTATCAGATATTTCTCTCCATAGCGACTCTTCCCTTTGTGTTGTGCTGCTGGATGCTCCCAGAAACACCTCTTTGGCTCTTGTCAGAGGAAAGATACGAAGAGGCACAAAAAGTAATTAATATAATGGCAAGATGGAATAAAGTAAGCACTCCCTGCGAAGTTTCTGAACTGTGCTCAGTCCAACAAGATGATCTAGTCAGTGGCAGAACGGATGACAATGACACATCCTCAACAAAGAAGCACAACATCTTAGACCTGTTTTGTAACTGGCATATTGCGAGAAGGACCGTCACAGTCTGGCTGATCTGGTTCACTGGGAGCTTGGGATACTACGTCTTCTCCCTCAGTTCTGTCAGTCTAGGAGGCAATGAATATTTAAATCTCTTTCTCATAGGTAAATATTTTTGTACCTTACTCTGTTTATGACATAACTAGAACATAACATTTAGAAATGTCTACAGACTTGACAGCCAATTTTTTAACTTTGTTCATTCAATTATGAACCTTGCTCAAAAAGTTGATTGCTAACTCTTCGTAAAGTTGACTAACACAGGAGGAGTATCATTCATGCCAGATCTCACTGTTTCTGAAAAAAAAGAATTTAAAATTCGTTGATGTATAAAATTCTTCTCCATCTGTCTTTGTGATTGTAAAACCATATTCCGCTTGTCTCCTCTTTGCCCTGCAAGCATATAGCAGATCCACGCAAACACCAAGGGAAGCAGACCAGCAACACAAAAGTCACACGGCTCTGTTAAAGGCACAAACTAGGAAAACGAGAGAAAAAAATTACTCCTTTAATCAATTACAATCATGATATATTGAGTCTGGCTGTGTAGAAAATAGATTCATAGTTCTCAGAAGCAAGAGTAATTTTAGTTTTCTGAAAAGTGTATTTTTTAATTTAGCTGTAGTATTCTTTTAATTTTATCAGTCTGACTGTAATCTTCCTCTGGTATGTAAGTTGTTTACAAAGGCAGCTCAGTGCATTCAAGGCCTGATCCAAAGTTCGTTAAGATCAGTGGGAATATTCCATTGACTTCAGAAGACTCTAGATCAGGCATGCAGCTAGAGCCAGCAAAGAAGGAAATCATGCGCTTTTCTTTATGCAACCGGGTACTCTCAGTAAAGTGAATGTGACTGTTCGTGTACATAAGCACACAGGACTGGGCTCTCATTAATTCAGTTTGTGTTATGATTATCAGACTGACATGTTGAAGACTGGATCCTAGTATTGCACAGATAACCAAACTTGTTACGGTGGAGTACAGTGCGTAAATCACTGTATCCATCTCTTCCAAAAATATTTTAGCAGACTAACAAACACTGAATAATTGCAACCTGCTTTTACCAACTCTATTCCTAATGGGGTGCATGAGGAAGAGTGTGGTCAGCAGTCAAGGGAGGTTCTCCTCCCCCTCTCATCTGTCCCGGTGAGGCCACATCTGGAGTGCTGTGTCCAGTTCTGGACTCCCCAGTTCAAAAAGGAGAAGGAACTACTGGAGAGAGTCCAGCAGAAGACAACGAAGATGAGGGGACTGGAGCATCTCCTTTATGAGGAAAGGCTGGGGGAACCGTGTCCGTTCAGCCTGGAGGAGAGAAGACTGAGAGGGGATCTGATCAATACTTATCAATACCTTAAGGGTGGGTGTCAAGGGGATGGGGACAGACTCAAGTCAGTGGTGCCCAGCGACAGGGTAAGGGGCAATGGGCACCAACTGAAACTCAGGAAGTTTTATCTGAATACGAGTAAGAACTTCTGTATTTTGAGGGCGACAGAGCACGGGAACAGGCTGCCCAGAGAGGCTGTGGAGTCTCCTCCTCTGGAGATACTCAAAACCCGCCTGGACACGATCCAGTGCAACTTGCTGTAGGTGCCACTGCTTTGGCAGGGGGATTGGACTGGATGATCTCCAGAGGTCCCTTCCAACCGTGACCAGCCTGTGATTCTGTGAACACAAGCCCAAAAGATTGTTTCCCAATATAATGTGTGTACTGACATACTATACATGCAGGAATAAAAATCTTTGTTCAGGGCTGTATCTTACATTCTTCCTTGATTTTACATTGGACATAGTAGCATTCTTCACGAGCAAGTCAGTTTAAAACATGTCTGAACTGGCTTAGGCTCAGTATGGTTTGTCTAGGGGCAAATCATGTTTACACAGGGTTTGTGACAGTCTGAGCCGAACGCCAGTTCCTTTAGAGCTGCAGAAGTTTTTCTTTGGAAAGAGACATTAGGTAGCGATGATGTGAGTACGAGTGGGATGTTGTAAGCAGCTGCCCCTCTTTTTAACGGAGACGAGAGAAAGCTGGAACCGCACTCTGTATTTGTGGAGCTGACTCAGAAAACTGGGCCTGGAGAGACCTTGCTTGCCTTTTATGTTGGGGTGGTTTGGGGCTGAAGCTGGGGGAGGCACCTGTGGCTTCAGTTCGGTGTCCAGGGGGGGACTGGCAAACCCTGAGGAGCGTGGGTGCGACACTAGCCCTCACCCCTACGCTGTTGATGTGAAAATACCTGAGGCAGAAGCGCAGCAGATGGAGAGCTTTCAGTCACAAGTGCCAGGGTCATAAAAGCAGGACCGTGGCCTTGCTGTTTTCTGTCATTTTCCACCCCAAAGAGAACTGGAGGTGCTCTGCGCTGTGAAACCCCTTTCCCTTGTCCTTCGCCATCCTGCCCCACCATCTTTCAGGCCGTGTTTCCTGCCTTCGGTCGCCGTTTCTGTTACCAAATGAACTAGCCCAACACGCTGGTTATCTCTGGATTTCACTTATTTGTTACCCCCTAGGTTAAATTAATCCTCATGAAGAGGAAGTTAGAGTTACAACGTGAATATGTATAATCATGACTTAAAATAATTTCATACTGACAGGTGCTGTGGAGTTGCCTTGCTATATCATTGCTTGCATTGGGATGGACAAACTGGGAAGGAGAAACACACTCATTCCGTTCCTTATTTTAAGTGCACTGATCTGTGTTTTAATTATGTTCATACCTCAGGTTAGTCACATATTGTTGAAAGTGTTCCTGTAGTAGAAATTGATTTTAAAGGCTCTTAAGTCTGTGGATGCAGCTGCTCTTTCTAAATCATATAGTTGACTAAAGGCTGTTTCTAAATTGCAGCTGCCAGTCTGAGATAGATTTCTGTATTTTCAGTACAGGTTTCACTGTCATTGCTGGAGTCACACGTAAAATGTTCCCAGGGTTTCAGTGAACCAGGACTGGTAAAAGTGATACGGACACCAGTAGCTTATCAAGACCCATTTTAAAAAAGCAAGCACTAAGTGTTGCTTATTGTTTAAAGAAGGGTCACAACTTTTGAAGGATTTAAATTAAGTTTGGAACAGTGTTATTTTCTGGTGATTTATTTACTTGTGCTCTCTTTCAATAGGATTTCAATACATTAATTATCTTAGCAAATATGGCTGGAAAATTTTCAATAGGTGTGGCATTTGGCCTTATATATCTCTACACAGCAGAACTATACCCAACAATTGTAAGGTAAGAACTTTTGCCAGTTACGTAGTTTTCATTACTTTGCTATTATTTTCTTTGCTTTCTTATGCTCCTGCGACAGATCAGCAGCCCTTGGCATCAGTGGCAGTGGTCTGAAAGACTTGGGATAGGATGAGTTCCTCAGCTGCTTCAGAGTTGTGTAGTGTTTGGCTGTACCATAAATTTTTATTTATTTTTCATTCTATGTGCATTGATTGGTTTCACTGGGGAACTAGAAGAATACTCACTATTTTCTTAAACATTATTTATGCCTTTCTTAACATCCTGGTTGTTCATCTTGTGGTCTATGCTGAATGATGACTGTATTTTTAATCTTAATTATAGAAGCAGCTGAATTTCACTACAATATAAATTTACATTGGTGTAGCAATAGCTTCCCGGTATAATTGCGTAAAGTCATATATCCTACTGATGCTTTAAGTATCTGTGCATTTCTAATTGTTTCCTTTATATGCCAGAATTCTTATAAAAGTCTTCGTTTTATGTGTAGATCGCTTGCTGTTGGAAGTGGAAGCATGATGTGCCGTGTAGGAAGTGTGGTTGCTCCTTTCTGTGTATATTTGAGAAGTGTTTGGATTTTCATGCCACTTGTAAGTATTTATTTCAGTGGTGAATGTTTCTGGTTTTGAAAAGGTGTATGTGTCACTTGTTTTCTCAGGAACCAAAAGCTGAACTTTTATTTTGAGAAGGAAATTGAATGAACCATTCTTGTTCTAAATTTTAAGTGTCAAAGATCATATTGTTAAAAATATGCAGCTAAAGCAAAAGCGAGACTTTGAGTGAAATCTTCTGAAATGTTTTTATGATGGAAGACATAAAAATAGTTATGCACTGAAACCTAATATAAAATTGATAAAAGTATTTTCCATAAAAATATACTTCATCTACTGTGTAACATTTAGGAATTGTCTTAGTCCATACTTCTTTATTCTGCAGGTCTAACAGTTCTTGACCATGTTCCTGATTTATTCTCACGTTTTTTCAAAGGCATAGTTCTTCCGTTCTTAGAATTCACCATGGGTGGCTGTTTTTTCTTCTATTATTCCTTAGTCTTTTCCATGGCTTCCCTGGGACATTGCGTCTTTGGAATAGCCTTCCAAAAGATCAAAAATGTCTTATGCTTACTATACTTGGTCTTCACACCTGTCCCAAGGCTCCCTTTTTGTGTTTTTAATTTACAAGAACTGAACAAAACAATTCATGAGATAGAAAGAGAGAAGCAAATGGTATATTGATGAGTTTCACGGTAACTTCGAGAAGCAACAGAACCTTGGATTCATTAAGCACATCCTACTTGTAGGTAACTCCAGGTGATGCTACCATTAGGTTTTGTCTTCTACCACTAGCTGCCCCAGGAAACAGAGGTGGGACCACTCCTTTGTGGACTTCGGGCATTTTGTTTGCATTATGTAGCTTCAGATCCATTTTGGACGCTATATTTTATGTATTTCCTCCTCACAGATGAATCACATTTCTTCATTACATTTCTGTTGTGAAGCATTTGCTGCATAGGAATCCTGCAGCCATTCAATCCCTTTTTTCTCCTGAAGGATAATTTATGTCCATATATGTAAAAACAGAAGGAATGACAGCGTTTCTGTTAAAGCCTTCAGTAGAAAAAGAGTTTATTAATGATTTAAAAATAGTTTTGAGTTCTTTCAAAAACCCCTTAGAATTCACTGTGAATAGCACAGCATGTTACATGTAGATTATGCATGTCAGAAGGCAAAAATGTAATGGAATGTGTCTTTAAGCTGGATTCTTACTCTAATTTTGTCTACCACATTGGAATTTCCTGAAAAAGCGGCATTGTCTCCTTTTGATTTTGCAGTTATAAAATCTTCAATTATAGATGCTAGAGATTGATTTCAGAGAATGCTTGGGAACTCCTTTCGTTATTTCAGTTAATTGCTTTCAGTTGTTTTGGATGAAGATTAAGAGGATGAAGGAAACCACAAATTAATTTATTCCCTCAAGCTCCTAAAAATGTTTTCTTTCTTAATACTGGCCCCACACAAACCAAGATATCATCCCAGAATAGCCGAAGAAACATTGCACAACAGAGTGGCCATGGGAGAATATTCTTTTTCTCTTCTCAGTGTTTTGCCTTTATGGGCTGAGATAAGCTTTATCTGTGCAGAAGTGCTGCGGTTAAACCACAGATGGGGAATGCTCAAATGTTCTGGAGAGCAGTGCAATGGCAGTATAAACAGAGGAATTATTTCAGCAATGAACAACTCTCAGTGTACAAAAAGTATCCAGAGTATTTGTAGAGTTGTGTAGTTCTTCACAGTGAATGTTTTCATTATTAGCTCCTCTTATAAAACATTTGTCAGTTTATTAAATAGGCTTGTCTTGAGTTGGAGTATAGCGTGCCAAGTTTCGGGTCATGTAAGTGTTTTGGAATGGAAATGAAATGAAACGGATTACATTTATAAGTAAACTGATCTACATCATGTTGATCTATTGTATACACCACATATTGTCAAGCAGTTACTAGCGCTATTTGTTTGACAGTCTGCCTCATGTACAGTTATGCCACCTGTGAGTAATGCAAGCATCTCGTTTGAATGCCTGTAAATCTTGAATGACTTGCCAAGCATGTTTTTTGTGTGGCAACTTTCTAGAAAACTTACAGTAAAGCAACTGCTCCATGTATAACCTATTTCTGCTTCTCAGCTGTTAAGAATTATGTTACAGTAGCCCTTTAACAGACTTGATTTTTCTCTCAGATAAATCATAAATTATAAATTAAAAAAAAAACCTCCACTGAGGTCAGTAAAGTTAAATGAATGTAAATCCTGTGTCTAATACTAGTGGATTTTCAGGACAAAATTTAACCTTTTTTTATTGAAGTAGGAATTTTGTAAATAAGATCACATTTTAGATTGGTCATAGCCATCAGATGTGGATATAAATATAAATAGCAGACTGGAATAATAATTTGTTCTCAGAAGTAAAAGTATTATTTTGTAGGGATATTTAATTCAAATTATCTTTTGTTCTAGACTAAATATATTAAGTTCTGATCTTAGACCACTGTGAAATTAAAATTGTTGCTCCAGGTAGGGAGGAGGACATATGAAAAATAGCGGTAAATCTGGTTTTGAAGTTTTTTATGGTAGCTGCTGGCTCTACTCAAGTGTTGGGGATACTTTGAGAGTTTGACAAAGCAGAAAGTCAGATTTCAAATTAAGACCCTGAAAAAGCAATGAATTTAAGCAGGTACTCCTTTCAGATTAACTTCAGTGGAGCTTAAACATACTTAAATACTTTGTACAGAACAGTACACTTTAATCCATAAGCATTTAACTCATTGGCTATATCAGAACAACATTTTCTCATGCTGAATTTTATATTTAAAATAGTACATACATACAAAATGTACACATTTGTAACGAGCAAGCAAAGGGTTAAATTATGTCAGATGCCTTATGAAGAAGTATGCCAAGATAAGACTGCAAAAGAGTTGCTTTGACTAAGTGTGAGTAAATTCATTGATAAGTGTGGTTACTGCCCCTGAAAAGGTGGATGACATTTGAGAAGTCCTTTCATTAATATACTGTGACTTAATTGTTTCATATTCTGTCTTTTATAGGAAATACTGGAAAATGCTTTGTAGAGTCAGGGAGAAGGGAAACACACTGAATTAGTCAGCACGCGGCAGCCTTCGCAGTGAAAGCAAGGAAAGTAACACGTGATGGAGTAGAGTTAAGAGAGCTGAGATGAAAAGGCAGGAAAGACGGTGGTGTGTATGCTTCCAGAATAGTGAGCGTTTGCAGGGGCATGAGGTAGGTTCATGAGGAAGGAAAACATGGGAAGAATGCAAAGTGTCTAATAGGCAGAAGATTTCCATGGAGAATTCCAATTTTAAAGCACCTTTCGGACTTGAAGATAAAGTCTGGCTTAGCTGCTGATGGTAGCTAGCCAGTTCTTGTCCCAGGCTCTGTGTGAGAGACATAGGCATAGTAATTCCAAACGTTCTCTCTCACGCTTGGAAAGAAAGTATTAAACAAACAAGACGGACCTGAGAATGAGCACAGGGCAAGATAAGGATAGTACAATATCAAAGTGCACAGTCACAAAATGGAAAAACACTGAGGCCAGGCATGATGTACTATGTGGAAGCATTTCTATCAAGGGAGCGTGGCGTCATTTATAACCTGGTGTTGGAAGAATGTCAGGGGTTTAGTGCTTCTGTACCGCAGAGGAGGCAAGTGTGAATTGTTCTCATTGACAAGACATAGAAATGAAGGGAAAGAAAAGAGACTCCTGGAGCTTGTGTGTGCTTCTGTATCTGCCCCACACGATCCTGATCCTTGCACCACTCGTGCTGAAGTAAGCTGTCATTACGGAACTGCGTACACCATGAGCAAATCCGAGATGTGGTCCCGCTGCAAATGTCAGTAGATGCCTGCACCCCTAACAGCTCTTTGAAACTGAGTTTACCAAAGTGTTCCTGGTGAGAGCCAGCTCATTATCTGCTGAAAAGCTCCCCTGAGCAGGGATTTGCACTTTTGTGGCTCCAGGCCAACAAGCCACACTGAGAAATTCTGATCTGGCTGCGTGCAGGAGGAACAGGCACGAAGGTACAGGGGAAACAGGTTCAGGATCTGGAGTGTGAATTGAGATTACAGGTGGCAGGGAAATTGTAGCTCTGTCAACATGCATGTAAAAATAAATGTATGCAATCCTAGAATCAGCTCTTAAATACATACCTCATAGTAGCAGTACCAAATGAAGGTACATGTGGTGTTTTCTCAAACAGAATTATTCTTGCGTGCACTGTATCGATCCCTTGTGCAGAAAACACTTCACTTGCTCTTCATTAATTCTGCTACATAATCTTTCATTTATGCAACAAAAAAAGGCAGATCTTTTATACAGTCAACATTTAAGACTTAGGATCGTTGCTTAACATTACAGTTCCTTCTGCTTTATTTTAAATGTAGTCTCAAGCGAGATTGAGGTTATGCATAACTTGAAAGACATTTCTTCCTTTACAGCTACTGTTTATTTCTTCTAGTTGCTCGTTGGAATCATGGCTCTTCTGAGTGGAATATTAACAATAATGCTTCCAGAAACACTGGGGAAACCGCTGACTAATACTTTGGTGGAAGCTACAGAAATGGGAAGAAAGAAGAAAAGCTGTTCAGGAAAGACTCCTCCAGCACACAGTGGTGCAGCATTAGAAAAGATAGAGATGTTTGGTCAAGAGACAGTCAGCACTGAGAAATAAAGCAACAGCAAAATGGCTGTTCCCAATTCTAATCATTATCTAATTTATAGGGTCTTTTTATTCAAGAAATGTGAGTGTTCTATAATATCTGTGCCTTTTACTTTGTATCCAGTCTTGCCTTTTTGATAGAGCAAATATATAAAACATTTTCCACGTGAGTGAGGTACTGCAGAAAACTTGGTAGGGTTTCTAGATCCCCTGTCAAACTTACCCAGACTTTAGAAAACCTATCTGACTTGCTGTGGCCAGTTGGAATGATAACTAAATGTTAGAACCTACCCGATTAAACATATGTAAAAAATATGCCAATTCTTTGCTTCACATTTTCTGCAGTTAGATTGTAAACCCATCACAAAGTGCCTTGTCTGCCGTTATCCTGTTGCAGCTCACAGGCTTGAGACTTCAAAACACGATAAACTCAGACATTTATAATTCAAGAGAGAAGCCTTAACATCGCATCAAGTCATATCAATAATTTTAAAGTTAAGTGAACTTACTATTTTTTTTCAAGTTTCGACTGGAAAAGGTGCCATTGCTAACAAAGGAAAGTATTCTGTGGGACAGCTTTCGACTGAAAAAGTAATACTAAGTTTGCAAAATGTGCAAATAGTTTGTACATTCATTCTGTTGAATGGCAAATGTATTTTTATTAGTGGTTTAGAAAAAATTGTCCACTGGATCTACTGCTGTCTTACTAAGTTCTTTTTAGTTTATCTAAAACTAAAATGCCTGATGCCTTTGAAAGTCATACTCATTCCAGACCATTATTTCAGTGCTCCCCTTCCCACTTTTTTCAGCTCAGATCTAGCATCAGATTCTTCATAACTTTTAAGAGCTCCACCAGCAACTTTGCCAAATGCCGCCATCAAGGCCTTCTCAGTCCTCCGTGGAAGAGAATGAATGGCCTATGGGTCTTATTCAGGCTCTCTGCACAGAGGTGGACTTAGTTATTAATGAGTGTTTAGTAGACATGGTATCTACACACCATTTTTCTCATAGATCAGCTGTCTGAAGCTCATTTTTTCCTTATACCACAGAAGATCAGTTAGAAAAATATAATTTAAAAAATGGTAGCTGGAGGACACTGATCAATAGAAGAGTCACCAGTTACTCTAGTAGTTTTAGTCAGAGTGTCTGTAAATGTCCCTCTGTTGCTACACCTCATGTGTGCACCAACACTTGCTAGCTGGTGCAGTGATTCTGTCTTCTGACTGTGGACCACAGAAAACTGCTAGATAGGAATGCATCATTCTGGCAACTACTTTTATGGCTTTCTGTCCCACTTCCCCTTTTTCAGTCTACCTCCAGACCTAGGGGCTTCTTCCTGCCTGAGGATCTGCATCCTCTTCACTTGGCCACACTTGGTTTGAGGGGAGCAGCACAGGAACCTTCTGCGTGTCGAGGTTCAGAGAGCCCTCTCTTGCCTGGGCTGTGCGAACCCTGTCATCCTTGGTTTGAAATCAGAGTTTTTCTCATCTTGAGCACCTACTCTCATGCGAGCTGGTACAATCTCATCAAAACAAGTCTTCCTTGTTTACTTCTTTGCCATGGACCCCAAAATAAGACCTCTGTATTACTGTAGATAAATATTCTATATGCTGTAAAGCTTAATGGTCACGTTTTTCAATTATATCTGCACAGTCGCATGAGTTTCAATGACTTCTGAAACCAGAGTGGTGGTTTATATCTGCTTATAAAAGATTTTTTTCTTCACTGCACTGACCTAGAGTGTCAAGTACCCTTTTCGTCCTGATATTAGGACAAAATTATATCCTATATGAGGACTAACGTGCTTTGAAGCCAGAAAAAATCAGTGAGTTTAAGTTCAGGGAGTTTCTGTGTGATAATTACGTGGAAAGCAGAAAGGAATCTTTATGCTCCCTTCAATTCTGTGGGTGTTCCAGTGTTGGCAGAGAAAAACCTCCGAAGAGAGCTGCGTGGAACACTATGGCTTCTGTCCAGATGTATTAGTTCAGCAAAAGCATGGGCTTAACCTTACCCGCGTGAGTAATCCCATCATTATTCAGAGAACGACTTGAACACATACTTTGATGACTGAAGATAGGATTACTCACATGCTGTGGCTTTTTATTTTGCTGAAGAGCAGACCTAGTATTCTTCCACTGCTTTCAGATCACTCTCCACTTGGCAGAGCAGAACAGTTCTCCTTATCTGCAAGATCTGTTGCCAAACCCTGCATGCCTTGCGTTAAACAAGGGTTTAACCATGCTAAAAAAGAAAACGTCGTGCAATACACCTAACGGGCAATTAAACTGGTACTGTCTGACATTACAGCCACCCTTCCCACACACAGAGCTCCAAGTAATTGCATTATTTTGGGGTTCTTTCACACTGATACTGCCTCTTTTATTAGTACAAGGTTATATCTTAAGCTCCTGAGTGCTGGGGAGAGCACAGTCTATTTCTAACAAGGTACTAAAGAACAATTAAAATTGATTTTTCTACTTCCTTACCTGCTGAATAACTGATTTGGGGGTTATCTTGCTAAGAACAGTCAATGCATGTTCTGTGTTCCTTTGGCTTGAGGGATTCAGGACCTGGCCATCTGTCATCAGTATACATAAGGTAAAGAAAAGAAGAAAAAAGCAAAAACTTAAATGCACAATGATACTGAGCAGTGCTTACAGACTAAAATTGAATGATGACTCTAAAACACAATGTAGTTTGATGGCTTTTAACCCCAAAAGCCAGTTCCTCCTGTCGCTGAAGTCAGTTGGAATTTGGCCTTTGATTCAAATGAGACCTGAATTTCCCTGAACTAATGATGTTACTTTTTTCCCTGGAAATAAAAATTTCATTGATCTACAGGTACACTTTTTCTCATTTTATGCATGAATAGCTTAGAGGATGCCTTGGGACATCCTATTCTTTAACCTGAGGAAGCATATTACTGTAAAAAAGGAAATAGCATGTGTCTATATGTCTCTAGCATTTCTGTTTGCTTGTTTTTTCCACGTGGACAAAAATATGTTTAACACTAGTCATGCATTATAAACGTAGCATAGACTGAGTTTCTTTCTTTCTCTTAATTATTCATGGATTATCTAAATCCTCTTGCAAGAGACCACTGAGTTTGAGAACAAATGCTCCTGTGGGCCATATTTTCCTATTGCTCATAAAAAGAACTCCTTTTCATAGTTTCTTATTTGAGTCCTTAAGTTCTTTTATGTTTGTATTTGTCATTGCTTAGTGCAAATTTACTGTGCTGATCAATGACTCTGGAGTTACATAATGGTTTTATAATATATTAGAATATATTAGACTATATATTAGAATTCTTATTTGTCAATTGCTGGTCACTATTGCACAATGACATGTTTTTGTCCTAAATTTGATATCATATTTTATTAGACAGTCTTGCAGTTTGTTAAGGACATACTTTCTGGGTTCAATATAGGCCTGAGAGCAATTATCATTAGTTTAATGATAACTAAGGAAAAATAGTAAGTAAATGTGTTTGATACTTTGAATCTGTATTTAAAACTATGTTAAAAGATGTATTTTCTACTTTAACAGCTCACTTCAATTTCTTTGTGGAAATTTCTATAGTTTAAACAACTATGTAGAAAAAAAAAAAGCTATGCAAACCATGTGCGGTCCGTCAAATGCTTTGGGTGGTACCCTGAATATCTGACCAAGGGGGTGAATCCTGCTGGAAGGCTGAGGGCTTTTGTGTGATGGCTCTGCGGAAACAGAAGATGGTCTGACATCCCAGCTCTGGGATGGAGGGGAGGACTCACTGGCATTCTCCTGTATCTTTCACTGCGTATTTTTCCAACTCCTGAGGTGCCGTCACTTCGGAAGCCTCTGCGGCTTTGGGCTCAGCAACATGCGAGGCTGCGAGTGCCTTGTGCCAAGGCTTATGAAAGGTTGAGGGCACTTGTGCCATGGAGGGTCTGGATTCATCCTCTGCCCTTTACAAACATCTTAAAGATGCTTGTCTGAATCCTGAAACAGATTCACAGGAGAGAAATTATACTCGAAGATTAAAAAAAAAAAAAAAGTGTTGACAAAAGAACACGTTTATTCTATCAGGAAAAATTCTAGTAAATGCAGTCTAGCATTATCTGCATTATTACCTCTCACATGAAGAAAGTTTAAAGCACATCTATGCACTGGTAACCTAATAATTTTGTACAAGGTTCTCTGCCAGGTGGAGTGTGCATTTTGGTAACGTGAGGAAAGTATGTATGCGTAGGAAGGAGTTTGTGTGCCCAGAAGATGTGGATTTAATACAATATGTGTTAATGGTTTTTTAATGTGTATTTATTATCTGCAGTTATGTGCAAGCATAAAGTCGAACACACGTTATTTAATCTTTACAACTTAATGAAACTTGATGAACTCCTATCACCAGCTCTCGGTTTGGTAATGCTCCCTTGTAGGAGCTGGTCCTGCTCTTCGGCGTTCCACGGAGATCCCATGGTTTGGACTGGCAAGTATCATGTGTCTGACTTTTCCCTGTTTGTGTTTGCAGGTGTAAACCAAGGTTTGGGTAATGGGTTAGGTGGTGACTGTGACAAAATGTGCATTAAAAATGTGACATGTTTTGCATTTCAGTTGCAGGAAGAATATGATTCTTTTTTGCCTTTATTTGTATAAACTGGCTGGGGCAGTAGTCCCTCGGACACGTTCAGTAGTGACAAAAATAGCTGCAGATATTGTAGAATGGGGGTGGGTTGATCAGGAAAGGGAGTGGGTGACTATGGGAATGACAGAACAATGTAACTGGTAACCACTTGGTGTTCAGTGGATGTGAAAACTAACTAACTTCCTCATGCAGGAATTGGAGTGGGCAGGCAGTGCAAGGAAAGCGAGAATTGCAGCAAGTTATAGCCCGGTTCTTTGCGATTTGTCCCCTTAGCCCTTCTCAGGAACCTATTTATTTTCCACTTCCCTAAATCTCTTCTTATTGCAAATTACTCAATTTTCCATGCATATTTTATTAATCTTATGTTTTCTGATCAAGTTAACATCTATCACTTGGCTTCATCATTCGTGTTTTAATGGCTTTATACGTCCTTGCCAGGTGATTTAGGTTCCTCCCTGAAAGTAACCATAG